ATTTAAAAAAAGTTAAATGTCGTGGAAGTGATATTTTTACAATTTAAAAATAACGACCTGTAACTCATTTCAACGTTTATTTCATGTGAGAACTGAGCCTGTGACCTGTAGTGTTACTGCTAAAAGGTCAATACGCTACCGAAATTTATCAAAGTAGAAAGTTATCAACAGTTCGCAGGTCAGAACCTCTCGTAACTTGAGACGACTTACTCTAGTGGCAGCGCTTGATTTGTTAACGTAGTATCAAATACCATCCCACAAGAACAGTTTCAGATCCAGACATGAATGATCAAGCAATTTTATTTCACGGACATGTGCTTTTCCTCACGATGTTTTCCATCATCGATGAGCACTTGGGACAAGCACTTAAATTATAGTTAACAATTTCACAAAATATACCTACCTTAAATCACCATGGTTGTAGTGCATGACTCTAAACTTATGTTGTATAGTTAAAATTGTCTTTTGCTATTGTTACCGTCTTATTTCAGAAAAATATTATTAACGCTGGTTAAGTAAAATAAAAAAAGCAGCCAACATACTCATACATCCCACTGGGACAGGTTTCTCTCATTTCGGCTTTGTAGCAGAAATACGCGCGGCGGCGCTGAACCAATGTAACAGGTGAAGTTCACATATTTACGAAACATTTCAAATTTCTCAGAATGGGAGCGAGGCATGTCGTAGCAGGAAAAACAACAGGTTTCTAAATATAACATATTGGAACTGTTGTAAACCGAAATAATTGTTGCTGTTACCCGAGCTACCAATGTTTAAAAACATTGCCCCAACAGCATTGGACAACCTCTCATCTTAGGCAACGTTCCTAACGTTGCATAAGATGAAAAGAGATTTCTGATTTAGTGATAGTTCCACAGTTGAGGATGCAGAACTGGCACTTATCCGAGAACCGGGTTTTTGTAAGGACTACTACCTGGTAAAACTAACCTGGTAAAGCCCCGTTTTTCCGGAACCGAGTAGAATCGGATGCATGCTTTTAATCCACAGCAACATTGACAAAAACAGGACAAACGTAACAGGAACACATGGTACAGTTTAAAGATAGTTCCTATTGAAATGTGTTGCAAGATAATTTTTGGAACAGGCTACTGAAATTGTTATTTCAAAGGTACAGAAATACGTGGAACAAGTTTCTAACTATACCTATAGTATAGCCAACTCCTAATTTAGACATGGAATAAATTTCAGAGAGGCCAGCGTTCATTTCAGATCGGCCAACGTTCACGTGGTTCAAACTCTGGTTGTGTTAGAAACATTAAAAGCAAGCGCCTCTAAGCTACCGCCTCTCTGCGCAAATCGCACAAATAACAAAATAACGTGCTCGTTTATATTCAGTTGATATACATTCTAGTTTGTGCAAATTGCGCTTCAAAGCCACAACGTCGTTTTAATAACGTTCGTATTTTGATAAAACTAAAGCATGGCGTACACGTATAGTAGTTTAATAAACTTGAAAAAATATTTCTACGTCTGGGCATGGGCCCTGTCACTGACAGGTAATCCCGTATTCGCCATGTTTGACAAGCGGGTTGACAATCACAGTAACATGAAAGGAGGAGAGAGACGCATCTCGGAGGTAGTCCCCTTCTTTTTTCTTTCTAAACGGCTGTCCTTATATTTTGTGTGTGTGTGTGTGTGTGTGTGTGTGTGTGTGTGTGTGTGTGTGTCTGTGTAATAAAAAATGCGTTTGCCAATACGCCTGCCAAACGTGACGACCAGGGAAAATGTTGCCCTACATTTGTTTATGTATATACAAGTATATGATTTATTTCTAGGGTCTATAACGTAGCCTGTAATTTGTAATGACCTTTAATATTCATCCATTACAGCCTATTTTGCCACCCCCACAGATTGCTTCATAGCGGAGAAGCCATAGTTGCTACTTTTGGTAGGCGAAGTAGCGACCGCAGGTTTTCATTAGTATCAGTCATCTGTTTCAGTTTTCCTCTGTCGCCTCTTTTTACGTCACTACGCAGACTACTAGACTATCATGTTTACCATGAATACAGGATTATGATATATGATCTACCTTAACATTCTATAACACAAACTGTAACTTGTAATAACCTTTAATATTATTAGGTCAAAATAGCTGCTATCAGACTAGTTTTGACTTCGTAATAGATGGGGCATTGTTTCTGCTGTTAATACGATTAATGTGGTACATTGTATTATCGTCTTTAGTGACGCGATATTTTTACTGTTTTCTTATCGTCTTACATTATGCTAAAAGAGACGAGTTTTGCATGCATATTAAGTGTTATATTATAAGTTAAGTCATGCTCAGTAGTACATAACGTTTCACGTTAATGTGGATTCTCATTTAACTTAAATAATCAATAAATTCTACCTAAGTAGAACCAGGGTAACCGATATAGGCCAAAGAATCAGTATGCTAAAGTGGTATTAGGCCGACCAAATATGTCGAGGAACCGACAATCGATGGAGAGGAAAAATTCTCGAGTGGCAGCCTAATACCGATGAGTCAAATGTAGGATAGGATGACTTTTTATTTAATGAAATGACGACCAGGTCATAAATGAAGGAAGTCGATAGGTGCAGGTGGCTCAGCTTTGTGATATGGTCCTTTCTTCGGGAAAGCCGATGTACAGCAGTGGTTTTGTGAAGAACAGTAACGCTGAATATAGGCCTCCCCAATAGACTGCCTCATAGGGGGATTTTGCCATACGATTGGCAACCGCAGTTTTTTTTATAACTTTTGGATTGTTATCAGGAAGATGCGGCTGCTCACCTCCTGTTTCAGTTTTCCTCTGTCGCCTCATAGGATACCCACGAGACATTATGGGGAGTAACCTTCATCATCATCATCATCATTACAGCCTTTCATAAGTCCACTGCTGAACATAGGCCTCCCCCAAGGAATGCCACAAAGCACGGTCCTGAGCCACCTGCATCCATCGACTTCCTGCATGTCTTACCAGGTCGTCACTCCATCTCGTAGGGGGTCGCCCTACACTTCGCCTACCGGTACGAGGCTGCCACTCAAGAACCTTTCTTCCCCATCGGTTGTCGGTTCTTCGAGCTATATGGCCGGCCCACTGCCACTACAGCTTACTAATCCGTTGGGCTATGTCGGTCACTCTGGTACTACTGCAGATATCCTCATTTCTAAGTTTATCACGCAGAGAAACTCCGAGCATAGCCCTCTCCATAGCTCGCTGAGCGACCTTGAGCTTCCTCATACGGCCAGCAGTGAAGGACCACGTCTCAGATCCGTAAGTCATCACTGGCAACACGCACTGGTTGTATAATTTCTTTTTAAGGTTGCTCTTACCCGAGCTACCAGTAGTAACCTTAGGCTGATGGAATTAATTAATGAGAAAGTTTTGAGGATAAAGAATGGATTTTTTATAAATATAAAAATATCATAATATATAACAAACATACTTCAAAAAATCTTCGATAAAATGAAATGCAAATAATTTAAAGATTTCTTATTTGGTTAACGCTCACGTAAAATACGTAACATCACAAAAAAATACTTTTTGCTTAATTTATGATATAAATTAACGAATTGATCATTGTAAAGGAAACGTGTAGGTAAAAACTGTATAGGAGGATATATTTTTAAACCGACTGCGGTGGAGTCGAAAATGATAACAAAAAAAATTGAGGCACATTATGTCCTCCAAACCGAATTTCGGTCACGGCTGCCAGATTAGCCATCTTTCATTCGCAAGATAGGATTATACGAGTAGTACACAAGTGTATGCGCAAGCACAAGTGAACCCCTTATTCACACTTTCATAGTCAGATAGAAAGGCAACCCGACACGACCGAAGAGAGATGAGGCACAGAACCAACGGCTTTACGTACCTTCGGAGGCAAAGGGGCGAAACACCGTCAACTTCCTGACGCTGAATTTCTACGGAAATTTTCTTAACATAAAAACCCAATAACTATACGAACTTAGGTCCACGAAATCAGCAGCCCCGCCTACGATTCTAGGCCAACGAAGTAGTCAGGGCACATAGAAGAGCATTGACTTATACTGCAATTTACAAACGTTATGTAAGTGCAATCGTGCAGTATACGATTTAACAAAAAGTGGGCGATTTCAATTAAATCGAAGCCCAACATTTGCTTACCTATTATTATTTTGTAATGTTCCTATAGGTTTTCTATGTATCTATCTTTAGATTACAAATGCATTTTAGCTAAAAAGCTTTCAAAATCTCTAAATCAATAATACAGTAATTAACAATTTGTTTTTAAAAATCAAGTAATAGTAAATTGCAGAATATTACATTTTTGGATTTCATTTGACGAATTCATTGATGGCCATATATACATATTTAAAAATATGTTTTAGCCTCTATATTTTTTTGTATACTTTATTTTAAAATAAAAAAGTCAAAGTTACAGCCTACATACATCCCACAGCTAGGCACAGGCCTCCTCTCATTTCTGAGAGGGTTTTAGGGCAAGGAAGTGTCCGCCGCGCAGCCCCAGAGCGTGTTGGCGAACTTTAAATATATGTTCGAAATGTTTTTTTCCGAATATAGGTTTCCTCACGATGTTTTCCTTCACCGCCGAGCACGTGGTATATGATATTTTATTTTATTAATCCAAACAATGTTCGGCGATGTCCAACAATACATATTGCACAATAGTAATAAATATGTACACACAACGAAACTAAGCTCATAAAAATAAATATAATATGAAGATGTGAATAATGAACAAAAACACAAAAGCTGTTTGATTTAAGTGCACCCAAAAATCTTTCTTATTTTATTATATATGCAGATGTTTTTATAAGATAGATATACAAATGTATTTGTATGTTTTTATTAAAAAAATAACACGTTTTAAATACACGCTACAATGGAAAGTAGTAGTTATTAAACAGCCAAAATTGTCTCCCCCCTCCCCCGCCCCTACACGCATGCGTTTTCCCTCAAAATTAAACGTCACATTGGTGCGAACATATAACCACCGTGCCATGCAAGTCTTACCAAGAAGAGGCAGGTTCGAGGCCTTGGCGGCGGGCGCTTCGCCCTCGGTTGCGGCGTTAGCATTGCCGGGCTCTACATCTGTAACCATAGGTGACACATAAAATTGTTTCTTTATCCGCTACTAAGTTTATGCTTGAGTAATTTCATTCAATAATCACCTATCTCTGCCTATAATAACGAAACAATTGGCTGTTATTGAGGACGGGGGGTTATTTGCCAGCCATTGTGTCATGAATAATGTCTATCTGTCCGGGGCTTATCTTCGAAATGACTACTTAAACCGTTTGTGATGAAATTTCTCGAACAGAAAACAGCAATTGCAAGAGTGGCTAAGGCTATATTTTATCCGAAAAAAAAACTGGAGATCATTTTTTGAGATATAAAAACTCATAAAAGAAATGGTCTTTGCTGATTATCTGAAATCTAATTGACGCCACACTAATAGATACCGCACAGGCGAAGCCGTGGCAGGTTGCTGGTACATAATAGCGTTGGTGAACTTTATTACCTTGCATTTCTCGAGAAGAAATGATGATAATATAGTCTACATCCTAATTTCAGTCAACGCTTAGTTGTATGATGAACGTAAAGTTTACATAACATCGAAGAAAACTAATTTTACTGATTTTATCGCGTATATTAACTGATTTTTATATTCCCGACGTTTAGGGTGCTTTCCAGCACCCGTGGTCACGGGGGACTGAGTTGTTTGACGTCCTGCTGTCATAGTTAGCCCGGCTACCTTCAGTTTTTTCATATTAATATTTGGTTCGATTTACGCAGAATGAGCTTACAGTATCTTGAAGTCTGTAACATTACATTAGATTTGATAGACCACAAATCCTCGCAAAAGAACACCGATTCCTCCCAAGGATGATTCGCGAGGCTATTGTAATTAAAAAACATTCTAATTTCAATAGAGAAGATGGATGGGTGCTGCCATCTGCTTGGGATCCCATAATTAATAAAATCAAATCCAAACCCAAGTATACCACTGCTAGACTTCAAGATACTGTAAGCTCATTCTGCGTAAATCGAACCAAAAATTATTATTAAAAAACTGAAGGTAGCCGGGCTAACTATGACAGCAGGACGTCAAACAACTCAGTCCCCCGTGACCACGGGTGCTGGAAAGCACCCGAAACGTCGGGAATATAAAAATAAGTTAATATACGCGATAAAATCCGTAAAATTAGTTTTATTTAAAAATGTGTAGTGTTCGCGTAAATATAAGAAATCAACATCGAAGAAATCGAGTATTTTTTTAAGATATCGAACGTACAATTAGTCCTCAAATGGAAGTTGGTTGTAAGAGTAAACCGAATCACTCCTACATCACTTATAGTATGAATTTTCTAGAAATATTCCATAATTTTATTTATGAAATTTATTCATTTATAATAACATAAGAAGGAAGGAAAACGTTGACAAAACTTGAAAAGAATTAGAACCAAAATCTAAGGCGCCCGTTAGACTCTTATGTATTCAATCAGGCAAATTACATAGGACTCTTTATATACAGTCTGCACACACATTTCTTATCGTTTTAGTTTGAGAATCTAACATATGCAGATGCGTTGTCACGCTAAGATTGAATGCCCCATATCCAGTAAAAAGTGTCTCCGGTTCTCTACACTCACCACATGAAACATAGCAGTGTTGAGCTGCTATTTTACGCTGGTATACTGTAAGACCGCGGTCTTTCGCCGATCGAGCCGACCCATTCATGCTACAACCATAATATAGCTGCAGCGTGACTCTACCACTAAATAATTTGTACCATAAAATAGAACGACTAAAATAGCCAAACTTCAGCTTGAATTAAATATAATCACGGTTAACGTAATTTACTGACTATTAAAACTAAAACTAATAAAGTCAATATCAAAGAACGTATCAAATTTTGTAATAAATTTCAAATCAATAAAGGAACGTTGTATTTTCCTACAGCTAATAGAACTTGGCACCCGATCAGATCTCAACTCTTTTATAGGCGAAGCCGACCACGCCGAACGACGTTTGTAACGAACTTGGCCCCTTTTACATTTATGTTTCTACGTTTTCGTTTGATGGGATACGTTTACGTGACACGAACGATATAATACTAATATGTTGCACACAATTTTAAAAGTATTATTTAGTCTTAACAATATAAATTGACCGAGAGAACATAATAAACACTAAATCAGATAGTAAATAATGTTAGTTTATATAAAACAATTATGATTTAACTCAATCGAGAAGCGGGCTGTGAAATCTATACTTTATTTTAATATAATAAAGCGGAAGAGTTTTTTTTGTTTTTTTGTTTGTTTAAACGCGCTAATCTCTGGAACTACCGGTCCGATTTGAAAAATTATTTTTGTATATTATAGCCAGATTCATGTGCAATAGTATAGGCTATCTAGTATTAAGCTATATTACTCAGCTAGCCTTAAATATGGATATTTGTTAAGCAAGTCAGAAGAAAAAGCACTCCCGAAATGATTTATCCGCGTACGCATTCAATACTTGACTGGGCGCGCGAACGACGCTTAAACCCTAGCCGTTATAAAATGCTTGAACTTAGGTCATGTCGCGTACCTCGGACACGTGATGACGCGGGTGAAACCGCGGGGCACAGCTAGTAAACAAATATAAGTAATGAGCAATCCGTCCCGGCGTCGCACGGGTGATTTCTGCATCGAGACAACAGGCCCAACTATCGGGTCTAATTGTGAATCTAAACCATCTAGGGACCTATTCAAACGAACACAAAAAATTTCATCAACATCAGTCGAGCCATTTTCGTGTTTTGGCGAGACAATTGATTTCACATTAAGTATTTTTCTGTCATGAATAATGTTTTAATTAGCATTTGGCATTTTCATAGCAGGAAATGCGTGTTACAGTTCAGAAACACTCGTGGTTTAGCAGTAAACCGAATCTAAAATAGCATATCTAACAACCATACTGGTTTTACGACTTCCAATTTGTTATACAACTTCAAAGTGGCGTGAGTGATACAAATGGATGCAGTGGAACATTGTCGCTGTCTACGAAAGAATCCAATATTATATAAACACAACCGGTATAGAACTTTTTTAGGAAATCAAAATCTTCAAGGTCGCTTTAATATTAATTTAAATTTTATAATTTTAAATTTAAATTTAACTTGAAATTATAATATTAAAAATAAAAACACGCGTGAGTGGCGTGGAAAACTCGGTTGGAACGAAGTTCCTTTCGTAGTATATTAAAACTTGCAATTCTTCTCCTTAATATTAAGAAATAATATTCTCAAAATTAATTAAAATATTGTTGAAGAAGACCAAGATCTTTCGTTATAAATATATAAAATTTTAATAAAAACTCAAAAAGATTATTACTTTACTTTATATGTATTATACAAAGAAATAGTACAACTCATCATCCACACTCGATACATATAAATAAAATTTATGTGTCTGTATATAATATCGCAATAACTGCCTTTTATTGAGCCGTGGTAGCTCAGATGGTTAGCACTCGCTGTAAGTTTCACAGTACGCGAGTAACCCGGGTTCAATCCCCGCCGGCACCAATGAAATTGTTAATTGCAATTTTAAGTGCTGATTTACCACGTGCTCGGCGGTGAAGGAAAACATCGTGAGGAAACCTGCATGTCTGAGAAATAAAAAAAAAATTATCCCGAAGACATGTGAAGTTCGCCAACACGCATTGGGGCAGCGCGGCGGACATTTCCTTGCCCTAAAACCCTCTCGGAAATGAGAGGAGGCCTGTGCCCAGTAGTGGGACGTATATAGGCTGCAACTTTACTTTTATTGAGGTAAGGAGTTATTTGCATGCAAAGATATGAAGAACCATTTTATAATTTTTTCTGTCTATCCGGGCAAATCTTAGGAATGGCTGAACTGATTGTAATAGAACTCTACCAACAGATTGAGATCAATGCGAAGAACGGCTATATTTTATTCAAAAAACGTGGAGATTTTTTTTAAAGAAATCGAAAAATTGATAAAATAAAGGGGAAGCGGGGCGAGTCACAAGTCAGTTTATAAAGTTAGCTACATAACATAAGCTTCTCACGAACTAAATTGAGACGATCTACTTTTTACGGATTCATGAATAAACTTTGTTTTTGACTTCATCTTCTGGTAAAATAAAAGTGTAGGAATGTTACTAGAGTGTTATTTGTGACATGTTTCAACAACGTATTCAACCTCAGAGTAACTATTACTCTAAGTGTTGAACGTAACGTTCTGTCCATCTTAGACATAAATTCTTTTAAGAGATGTTTTCAACGCAGCGTTTTAAAAATTGTACTAATAGCTTATTTGTTAACTAATAGTTAACAAAAACGACGCAATTTCTTTAAGTGTTTATAATAAAATTGAGTTGATTGATGATTTACTACGACTTAAAAATAAAAGCCTAAAATGCATCTAATTGGAATGATAGATAAGTCTATTGAAAATAAAATTTCACTTTTGCACAAAGGAATATTTTCTGAACACAAATATATTTAAAATTGGTATGCAATTAATTAAAGAGAAGAAATGCAAGAGCGTGAAGATTCATAACAAAAACGCGAAACCCGATAATCATTGTAATCTTCGGGAATACCCCAAGTGCGTCATCTAAAATAACATGTCTGCATTCAAATTATTAATGTTAGCTAGATGACTGTCGACTACAACAGCCAATTATTCTAAAAAAATCTCAGAAACAATCTTCCAAATATTTACTCTTGCAACGCAAAAACTTGAACACAAAGAAAAAACATATAAGTATGTATACAAATTGCAATGCTTTCAAAAGAATACATGAACTGCCTCACTTATAATCGTTGATTATCGTCGAATTATATTTAGTATTAATTATCTCTATATTTTCACTTTATATTGTCGTTTAGTGAAAGAACAATTTTAAGCATTAGTTAAATTGACTTCGATTTTATTTAAGGCCGTAAGAGTTTATCTAGGATTTAAGTTAAAAAAAAAATATTTCGCTTTTAATTTTAAGGCGATAAAACTTATGTATTTATAATATAATAATAATAATTTCTATTGCTTAAAACAATACAATTTAAACTAAAT